AGAGAGAAAGAAAGGCGCTCCTTGACAGACACCTTGCCGCCGCCTCTGCGATTCTCAGAGACTAAAAAGAACAGAATATTTGTCACCTCCTCACAAATTTTGGAAAGGAAAAAAAAAGGAAACCACACGCGTGCTGGTGAATTTAAAGCTAGCGCGAACGGGCACACTAAGGACACTCCTGTTGGCGAAGAGCCTTGCGCTGAAGGCATAACGTACTATATGTAGCCTCGACCTATTTTAATACTCAGAAAATGTTAATTACAATGAGACCACAGCTAAAGTTCTTCTGTACATAAATTTTCAGGTTTCCTGGTAAAATGACATATCATTTTAGTTTTTCTGTAAAAGCTGTGATCTTGTTAGACAGTTAAATTTGCAGAGTATTGGTCGATTGAAGAATCACTGGGGCTTGGCTTGGCTGACGTGTTTCATTCCGCTCACAGCTCATCTAGGCATAAATAGTGGGGGTGCGCTCAAGACTAGTCGACATTTAATCCGCATAACTCGGGTGAGGCGCCCCGAAGGTTGGCACCATTGTCGAAAGTCAACATTAGCATGGAGGAAGAAGGTTGGCATCATCGGGGCGGGGCAAAGCTGCGCGCGAGATTATTTGAGGAAAAAGAGAGAAATAAAAGAGCGCGAAAGAAGCAGCCAGCGGCTCACAACAGGAAAATAAAAGGGCCCCAGCTTAAGAATGAAGAATAATACAATCCTGGTGGGAGGAGCCTTTTGTGAGGGTTTGATACATGGAGCCGAACGGGCTTCCGCCGCCGTGCGTGCGTGCGCGCGCGCGCGCGCGTGTGTGTGTGTGGGGGCTGCGTGCGCGCGGGCGAGCGGTCGCGTCCGAAGAGCTCTGGTGCCGGCCTGTCTACCCGTACCTGTGGGACCCGGGGCCGGGCCCTGCCTGCTGGCCGCCCCAGACTGCGCGGCACCAACTTGACTTGATCTACGCCCTCTGTCTTTCTCTCTCTCTCGCTCCCCTGTGCCGCCGCCACGCCCCCTTCTCTTCATCCCCTCTCCTCCTCCCCCTCGCTACCCGTCCTCTTCCTTTGATTGTGGGGTATTATGAGCCTAAAGAGACGGTGTCACACGCCGCACGGCCGCAGCCTGCAGCACTGTCATCGATTATTTACGCGAGACTTGCCTCCATTCAGGTTGGCGCGAATTTCGCCGCCTCTCTGCCCCCCGACCCCTTGCATGAGCAGCCCCATAGCCTCCGTCGGTACAAATTCTACACTAATTTGTAGCTCTTTGTATGGCAGCTCGTCCCCTTCTATGTGTAAGGCGAGGCATGTACAGTCAAGGGAGCTCAAGAGGTTTGTGTAGGTGCACGGTGGTGTGTGAGTGTGTACGTGTGTTCAAGGCGGGAAAGGTGAAATATCCCCTGCATCACAGCCCGCCAAAGGCGTCTTATCCTCTGGTCTCATCCACGCCACGAGTTCCTTTTCGCAGCTTTTCGCCAGTTTGGCTCGGCGCATGTTGCGCGCTCGGTAAGCAGCCCTCATATGACCTCGACGGTTTACTATATTCGCTGTGAAGGGCTCAAACCAGTATTGTTTGCTCACACACAATGATTTTCGCCCACCATATGGTGTATGTAGTGTAGTCTATTCTCGCCGCCAGGGGCAGGTCTGCCACGATGGTTTAATCTCGAAGCAGCGATCGGGTTTCTGCAACAACAACATACACATGATGCCGTTTGTGGTCTGCGGTGTGTCGTTTCGTGTTTCTATTTTGCAAACACATCTTTATGGGTCGTTTTGTAAATGGGAGCGTGCTGCCGCTGTTATAGCCCCTTACCTTGGCTGTTCGGTACTCGTAGTAAGCCTGTAGGCCGAAAATACTCTTCATACCGTCCCCGAGTAGTTTCCTTATGCCCCTGTGAATGAAATGAATGAACCGAATGAATGGACGGGGCTATCACACACTATTACACGGGGGGGCTCCGGTCACTATGGGGACCCTATACATATATATAGGGACCCATGAGAGGACGAGATTCATTCAGGACCACAGGTAAATCGCGCTTTTTAGTGGGAAGAAAGGCATTAGGGAGGGGGGAGGGGCCCACGTATAAAGGCGGATAGCCGGCGGGAGGTGGACATGGGCGGTGCCCTCGGCCCTCGGCGGCGGGCCGGGCGTGGCCGGGCAATAATCTACACCTGTAGGGTGGGGGTGGGGCGCGGCCGAGGGTGCACGGAATGTGTCACCACAAAAGAAATCGCGCCGAGAAACAGGAAGCGCATTCAACATTTTTTGGTGCACAATGTGTGTGCATGATATATATGCGCCACCGAAGGGGAGAGAGAATAGGGGGTGGAGGAAAGTCGCGCCTCACACAAGGAGATAATATTTCTGTCTTTCTTTTTTTTCCCTTTTCAGTGGTCCAGCAGCAGCGAGCGGATGTAAAACTGGGCTAGCGTGTCACTTTGCGCTTCTCGATTCCCTCTCTCTAGTTGCTCAAAGTGATATAGTTTCACAGGAAACCCAAAAGCGTCTGAATATGCCGCACACCGGTGCGCACTTGCAGGTACAATCGGTACAATAAATGCGCAAAATTTCAAGGAAAATTCACACTGTTGATTGTACAAGTGTGCGAATTGGGATTCACACCAAACCGATGCCAGTGCGACATTGACAAATGTCACCCCCAATGATCCCAATGATCTTTGAGACGTCCAGCAACATCATGTACCTATTAGCTACAGGTATAGGTACCGGCCTAGAGCTGTGACACGCTAAGAGCGGTGCTCCTGCGGACTTTCACGACGAACTTTCCTAACCCGCTGAGCTGCCCACCTCAAATTGGTGGCAGCCGCGTTCAAGTAGCGGAGCGGCGCCAAGGAGGTCCACGCACCAAGCCCTGTAAGACAGGAAGCGGCCAGGAGGTTCAAAAATGACAGGTGGGTCGTTACAATAACTCGCGTATAGACTCGTCTTCCGCTACTTTTGTAGCGTGAAAATGGGAGGAGGAGCAGCGCTGGTACAAAGCGCATTGTTGTGCCTATCACGGCAGCGCCGCGGGGCCCTTTGTTGCGCCGAAAAATAGAATCTTGTGCTGTTGAACAAAAGGGGGATGCGGTGGTACCGCTTTGCATGGACAGCAGTAGTGCGCGCGGGCTATTCAGGGCGCACTTTTTCAAATGAATGAATTCGGCGTGTGTGTGAAACCCGCTCGCTGAGCTGCTGAATGGCGCGATGGCTTGGGAGAGCTCGCTGGACGCTGGCCTCTATATCAGCAGCCATCAGGATCCTCCTGGGCAGGCTATCGCCCAGGGGGTGTGCGATTATGCCCGGTGAAAGAAGCTCTCGTGTTTCTTTTGACGTGCAGGCATTATGGCGAACGCCGCCAAGAGGATGTGCGCCGGTCAGGCAGAGAAAGGATGAGCGACGCTGCTGGCGGCGCGCTGCGCGGGGGCGGGCTCTGGCTCGCGATTGGCGTCCAGGACTCACTTCTGCTGCTCCAGTTTCGAGTTTTTCTCTCCTCGCCACTTGTTGAACAGGCCCAGGCTACCCATGAATGAAGTCGAGCCGGGAGCGTTTTTGAATGAAGGATGCTGCCGCTCCCGGCGGACCTTGCGCGCTGACGCTGTCGGCCACGATAAAGGGACATAGAAGTCACTTTACATTTAGAATGAAAGTGGAAAACAGAAAAAGGAAGGGGGGGGGGGGGCAGCGGGGACGTAGTAGATGAGGAAGTTTATAGCTTTGGTGACTGTCACCTGGGACATAAAGAATACATTACTGGCATTGTCTGGCTAGAGCAGAGGATGAAAGTATGAATGTCTAGGAGAGGGTTGAGCCCCGTGGCCGTGTGCGTGGAATGTGGTCGACAAGACTGCCTGATGCGTCTTTCCGCCCCTACCTGCTTGCCCTTAAAAAAAAAAGAAAAAAAACGTAATATATATTTTCGGGTTTAGGTTTCAAGCTTCACTTTTTTTGACCTCTTACCTAACCTGTCCGGGCGGGCCGCGGCATCTCGTCCTTGTTGCGCCCCTCCTGCAGTGTTTTCCTTGTCATGGCATGCCAATATGCTGGCTTCGCATTATTGACAGCTTTATGGCGGACCGTGTATTATGGAAAACGGTTTTGCGTACCCCATCCCCCGCCCCCCACCCCATACTTTTTCCACCGTGGTTAGTCGGAGACAGCTTTCTAAAATGAATTTCCTATTCGGAAGGGGGGGGGGGAATGTTTGAGTATCTCTAACAAAATACAGCACCGAAGCATTGCAATCTGAAGAGGTCCTTCATTCCTTTTTGTTTGCACTTCCGAATTGTCACTTTTCTCGTCATCGACTTCACTGGACGTGAGGGTGCTCCAAAATGCACGTTTGAGCACGGCTTATGGGTATGGGTTTTCTATATCACAAATTTCGACGTGGCTTATTTATAAGGCATACAAATTATCTTTCAAACAAGCCACATTCGGTTGGTTCGGTTCAAATCCGAGATCGGGTATGTAAGTACTTACGTAAGTTGTGCACAATGTTTTAATTCCTTGGCAAGTTTGCAAATGTTTACTAGACTGTACAATGTTTGAAAATAATCTTCCATACTCTTTTTTTAAAAACTCTCATGAACTTTTGACATTTCCACATCTTTTTTGAAATTGTCAGTTGTGACCAAACCTAGTTTTTGTAGAATATATATTATACAGAAAGATGCATATTAGACATCTTATAGACGTCTTTTTTCCGTGTGGGATAGTGTGTGTTCTCAAAACTGTTTGGAAATCCCCCCCCCCCCCAAAAAAAGGCATATATTTTAAAAACTCTGGAAAATCATCTTTTTAAACTATTTCAACAGATTTTTATTTGAAAAAAATTACTTAGAATGTCAATTGTCAAGCGTGTGGATTGCGGTGAATGGCCTTTCGGCTCACCTGTACGACATTCGCACACTTCGACAGTGTTGTTTTTTACTGGTACAATGTCATAATAGTAACATGGCTTTTTCTTCGTATAATTGTAATTGTTTGTGTCATGATTGTAGTTGTACCGCGCTATGGAGAAGGTGAGGAATCTGTGGCGCGACGCGCGACGTGAGTCCATGCAGTACCCGTGCGTCAGCCGTTTTCTGCTCAATATCTGAGCTGGACGCGCTGCGCCAAGCTCTGCCCGGCGGCTCTGCCCCTGCCTGCCACCCACCCTGAGGCCCAGCCGGCCCGCGGGAATATTTTACGATGACACTGCACATCAGCGTCACAAAGAGGCCCGCCGCGGGATCAATAATACTACAATAATAAAACGGAGCAGCACCGGGCGCATCATTCAAGGTGAGAAAAGAGAGGGGGGCGACGGGGCC